AAACTTTTATATCACTTTTAATTGATCCAAAACTATGTCCAACTTGTGTCTCACGCATCTATGTCTTCGTCGACTGCTTGTGTCCGGCAAACGATGGCCACCAGTGGTCGACCACAAGAGACATTTGTTTGGGTTCTTCAGGAAGTCTAAGGCGCCCGGCGTTTATATCTTGTAGGCATCTGATCTCTCATTTACCACTCATTTTAACCATTATTATAATTATCTTGTTTTTTACCCCACGGACCAGATTCCCAGACATACCATCGGATACTCCAGAGACAAACGAGTTGTTGGTTTTACCGGCAAACGACTCAACGCCGACTCGATTCACACGATTATCATCGGAAAAGTGTGTCAAAGCCGTGGCCAAGATGTCCATCGACTTCGACTCGTGCATCGACTCATTGGATCAACAACTGGAACAAAGTTCGACCACTTGTTCACACATTTTAAGCCCTAATTTCATCTGAAATCTGATGATAATTATTATTGATTTGAATAATTGCAGAGAAATTGTCCCAAAGTTTCGACGAAGTGATGGCACAAATCGAGGAGCGATTGGTTCCCTTAGACTACGGGATGTCAACGCTTCGGCTGCTGAGGGCTGTCGACAAACAGCGATACGACTTCAGACACTTCGACCAATTCTTCAACAGAATCACTGCCACCAAAATCCGACGCTTCCGGAGTCCACAGATCTACTACTTTATGCGCGAAAGCGACTCAAATCGGGATCAACTCGATGGCCAACAGCGACGAGTTGTCGACAAATACCTATTGGAGGCGAAACTCTTTGGCACAACACTATCGGCTCAGGAGTCGCCTATTTTAGCGCAAATCCACACCAATCTCGCGGAGGAGAAGACGAAATACAGCGAAAACTTAGCCGAAGCCACGAAACGCTTCTCGCATACCATCGACGACCCGTCGCTGTTAGGCGTACTGCCGGACGAGTTGATCGCATCGATCGGCAGCCACAGCAACGCCACGATAACCCTTCACTCGTCGGTATTCAACCCATTCATGGAGTACTGTCCGGACCGGTCGTTGCGATGGAACCTATGGCTCGCGTACAACAGCCGCTCCTCGCCCTCCAACGACCGGCGCATTAGTAACAGTATTCCCATTGAAAACATTCGGGCGTTGCGTCGAAAACAGGCCCAAGTGCTGGGCTATGAGAACTATGTGGAACTGTCGCTCGAGACCAAAATGGCCCGCACTGTGGATAACGTGCGGACATTCGTGTCGACCCTTCACACGAAGAGTAAGCACGCATTTGACGCTAATTTCAAAGAGTTGACCGAATTTGCCGAACACAGCGGTTCCCACGAGTCCGGAGCCAAACTAGAGCTCTGGGATCTGCCGTATTGGCAGAGAAAGCTACTGAAGTCCAAGTACTCCATCGAAGACACTCGTGTCAAACAGTACTTCCCTCTGAGCGCTGTTCTCAACGGTATGTTTCGTTTGGCGGAAAACCTGTTCGATGTTAAGGTAGAAGAGGTGCCGACCGACCGGTTCGAGTCGTGGCATAAAGACGTCCTGTTCTTCCGTATACTTTCACCCAAACAAGGAATCGTTGGCTCCTTTTATTTGGATCCTTACGCTCGAGTCAACCAAAAGTCTCGTTTCTCTTACAACGAGTTGTCTCTGAATCGTTGCCATTCACTGCAAACAAAACCCATTTCTTGTTTGATCGCAAACTTTGCCGAACCGTTAATCAGCGGACAGTCCACTCAACTATCGTTCGCTCAAATCATATCTCTGTTTAAACAGGTTTTTTGAAACACAAATCACTTATTTATTTGTAAATTAACGACCTTTTGTCCACAGTTTGGTCACATTCTGCAGCACTCTCTGACTGAGAGCCGATATGCGGAGATCAGTGGTCTGGCCAGTCAGGAGTGGGATGTCGTCAACTTCTTCCCTGAGTTTATGGCCCTCTGGCCCCTCAACTCGTACGCAACGCTGTCGTCGTGCAGCGCACACGTGTCCGACGGATCACCCCTTCCGGAACAGGAGTTCGACAAAATACGGCGCGGTATGCCGTCGCCTCCCTGAGCCCCGGGCTATTCACCCACTTATTGTTTGCCTCTTTTAGCTCACTATCACTTCTCATCGTTTGACTTAAAGCATGAAATATATCGAATGGCACTCGACTTAGGCCTCTATACGGGCACAGAGTTCTGGGCCAACATCCGAGACCAGGTGTGGGACGAATACATGAGTCCATTCAGTCGTGACAAGTTGGACGCACATCCCTGTTCTTTCAGAGCCATATTCTGCGACGACTTCGCCTCCGCTTACTTCTCATTCAAATGGGCAGAGGTTTCACTCTCAAGTCACTCTCACTTTGGTTTCTCTTTTGTTAATAAGATTTGATTTGTTGTGTCAGATGTTGGCATCGGATGCGTTCGCTGCCTTCCAAGCGGTCGGCGTCGACGACCACAAGGCTGTCGCGCGAGTCGGCGCCCGGTTTAAGGACTCATTTCTCACGCATAGCGGCGACTATAGTAGTAATGAAATATTTAGGCGATTCTTAGGCAGAGATCCGTCGCCGGACGCCTTCCTTAGGATTAATGGTATTCACGGAAAGGATAGTCATCTTAAAAAGGACTCCATTTTAGGTATGTATTGTTGTTTGAATTTTATTTGTTAATTGATTTCTTAAATTAATTAATTATATATTTTTAAAGGTAATGAGAAAACGGCAAACGAAGGCACGGCTGAGAAACATGTGAATTGAGTCCTTATATAATATATAATTTATATGAAATCATTAGTTAAATAAATATTTTGCAATGAATTTGATGACTAGAATTGTAAGAAAGCTTAGACTTACGTAAAGCCCAATCATTATATGTGTCGTTAAAACCAATTGAAATCTTTTATTTTGTGTCATTAATGCTATTAAACAAACAAAGATTTTATGATTAAAACAATTAACGGATTTTAGTTTATATTGTGACCATAATTCTACAAATTATATAACGTTATGTCAAAGAATTGAAGTTCACAGTCAAGTCTGGTATGAGTGTAAGTATTGGTTAGAAATGTGAAAATGTGTTTAATTTTGGATTAATAAATAATTTAGAAAAATTGTTTCAGTGCTTAAAAAGTATATAAAAATATAGAATTAATAATTACCGTAAAACTGGCTTAAAATGAGTACTCTATGTGAAAATAAGAAGCACACAATTCTTGAATATTCTGGTATAAACTGAATATAATTTATTGCATACAATGTATGATTGTACTAAACAACAAACATGTAATTTAAAACAAAATTTAACTTGAAACAAACTTGTAATTTAAATATCCACTGAATGGTTACATCTGAAGATACTATCATAAAGACCGCGACAATCTCTATGAAAGTCTAATTCCTAGTATCGATACGTTTGCCAAAGCAGTGAACACAACAAAAAGAGTGCATTTAAAGGGCTTTTCAATGCATTTAAAGGGCTTTTCAATGCAAACAAACAGCTATTATAGTGAATGCAATGCAATGTTAGGTTGTGTTGTGTTTGCGATAATAACTACTCATAAATGGATTTACAGATTATTTTGTGGCAATTATTTCACTCAAAGCCATGAGTGATGATAAGACGGGCGCCGACGGCCTCCACACCACTGGCCTCACCACCGACGAGGCCCTCAAACGGCTCTATCAGCAGATCGACGAACAGCTCCAAGAAAGTCGAGTAAGTGTCTCATGAGTTAACCATCACCTCATGTCTTCAGATGACAATCCACACCAGTGTCTCACACTATCCTTACCACTACCTCCAGGTGCGACCGTCTGGCGCCGACACCACGAAGTATCTGCTGTTGGAATCGTTCGGGTACTCATCGATCAGTTCCACATTCAGGTGGACATCGATGGCACTGCTCTTGTACTCAACGATCGTCTATTACATCGGCTATGGTTTCGGTCACTTCACGGCTCGCGTTCCACTCCTCATCGAAGCCACGATTCTTGTGGTGATTCTGGTCTTCAACACTGGCCTCACCTTCTGGAACACGAAGTCCCGACACCTGGAGATCAGACGCAAGGCTCGCCTACTGTCCCTTCAGATCAAGCAGTGCTATAACAGCCAAAAGTTGATCGACTTATGGAAATCCATGCGATACTACCCGCACCTCAACACTCCTCAGTCGCCCTGTATTTCCCTTCAGTGGACTTTCCGCGACCGCCGACGAGTCAATCTGCCGGTGCCTCTGCTGGTGGCCGGAGATGTCATTCTGTTGAGCCCCGGGAGGGCAGCGCCAGCCAAGTGCCGGTCCATCGAACAGGTCGTGCCGTTAGTGGTGGCGCCCAATCAGACATATCCCGGCTCTGAAGCCTCGGTCACCATCACAACGACCGCCACAACGGCCACTGAATACTATCTAAACGCCGGCGAACTCTTCGTGCCGTCCGTCGACTTCGCCGCCGACTCGTTCGCCATCCCTCGCCTGCGACGAGCGGCCAAACCCATCCGTTTCGTAGTCCTCGAGACGCCGTTTATCACTGACCTGAAGGCAGCCCTCTCTCGACAGTCGACCCGCAACTACGCCACCGCTTTCGAGAAGGAGCTGAACCTGATATCCGTCCGCTATGTCGAGCGCCTCATAATACCACTCATTTGGACGATAGCCACGTTGGCATCGGTTGTCCACTACGGATACCTGGAGTCGTTGGGCAACGAAATGGTGACCACGTGGTCGGCATCGATCACACTGTTGCTGTTGAGACCGGTGTTGGCTATACTACCATTGCTGCCACTGGCACTACCACTGTGCTGGCTAATGCTCAATGTGTACGGCTTGTCGCATCTGTTCCAAGTCTGTGCCTCTAATTTCGACAAACAGGACATCACTAACATTCAGGGCAGTCCCGGCAGTATACTCACCGGTAGTAACATTGGCCGCGCGAAGGAACAGTACTTCAAGTCAAGCAAAGAGTTTTATATGGAGGAACTGGATTCAGAGCGCTCTAACGTACCGCTCATCGACTCGAAGCTCAGCTGTTTTGATATGATCTTCAAAATGAAAGACCTGTTGTCCAGTAACGACACTAACCTCTGGCGTACGGCTAATCTGCTACACGTCTTGGGAAGTATAACTGCCTTTTGTTGTGTCGACAAAAAGGGAATCCTCTCGTGGCCTAACCCTACTGTCGATAAAGTATTTTTCTTAACCGCCAATCACTCGAAGATTAATAAAAATGTTTCGGACGACGAAAGCGACAGCGATTCCGAAGACGACACGGATTCCGATCGCAATCAAAGCCACGAAAAGGACAAACGAAAGCATAAAACTTGTAATTTATTTAATTATTCTTATCTTGATGATTATCTTGACATAACAATTAATATTAATGATTGTCTTAAGCATTGATGTCGAGCTCGAAGGCAGAGGCCATGCAACTCGACATAACCCACGACCCGCACAACGCCTATGGCCTCCAGTTTGACGACACGGAGTGGCAGAAGTACTTATCAAACCTGAAGCCTCTGGGGTTAGCCATACTGTTGAACACTTGCAACCAAGAGGCTCAGGAGGAGTTCATCCAATTCTGTGATCACGTGGCCTGTGAGTCGTTACACAATGAGGCGGCTGTTCCGGTGGTGAACAAGCGGTGTCTGTGTGAACTGGCCCGACAGATAGGGTTCACTGAGAATGCCATCAAAGGCTATGAATACAACTCACAGATCGCAATGTTTCGACACATCCGGCCCGAAGTCATACAAAAGGGAAAGTTGGCTAAGAGTCTCAACTTTCCGCGCCTTAAGATGCCTTTCCCTAACATGACATCAGCGGTCATTAAAGACGTCTATTCCAACACATTCCAGATCTTTAGTCAGGGAACGGGTGATCTGGTGCTGGACGCCTGTACCGAATACTGGGACGGACACGACCTGTCGGTGCTGACCGACTCGGACCGCAAGCGAATACTCGACTTTTACCACCGAAGTAGTCTCACCTCCTATTGCACCGCATTTTCTTACGTTCCGCTGAATTCACTGCAGGAAACCCTTAGTCTAAACGACTGTTACATTGAATTGACTCCCGATTCGAGTCATTTGTTTCCATCCCAGAAGAGCTTAGACTTGAGTTTGCGATCGTCTGAACATCACCACCACAACCACCTACAGGTGATCGCCGGCGATAAGTTTGCCACCTCCAAGGTAGGCCTCCAGAGCCATCACTTGTCATCGGACTCGTTGGCTAAACACGAAGACGTGAACCGATTGAATCGGCCGAAGAGCTCGGCGTCCGGCCATTCACAAGACGGCCACCAAATCGAGAGTCTTATCCATCAGATGAGTAATGAGGTGTTCATTGGTATGACGACAATGCAATACCAGGCCTGCAGTGACTTCGTTCAACTCGTCGAACAGTTGGAAACAGGTATTCAAAGTCATTAGTAATCATGTCTTCTGTATTGTCTCCTCGAAACTCATTATTGATTACCATTTGTTTGGCATTTAATCCAAAGCCTGCATCCGATTCGTGCACTTTTCCAAAGAGAATGAGTTGAGGAGTCGTGTGTTCTCTGAGAAGATGGGTCTGGAGTCGGGCTGGAACTGTCACATCTCACTCCTCAACGATGACGTCCACCACATCGATGGCCAATACGGAGGGGCCAACGCCTCCCAGTTGTATCACTTCTGCGACACATCGAAGGGCTCGAAGACGTCGTTAATACACGAGACGCAGACCATTGCCATCAACACTGTCTGCCGGTCCCAAAGCGCGCCGGGATCTGTCAATCTGGAGATCTCTACCGTTAAGTTCGCCGATGACTGCGATGTTGACGCCAATGATCACAACGAGAGTGTCGGCAGTGATAGTCAACAGGAGCTGAACGCAGATAACGGCGCTCTATTGCAACGCACGCCCAGCGATGGTGACAATGACAGCCGGCGTATGAGTAAAGCCACGTCCAATCTATCGCCCAGTCCTTCCCGGGTCACCACCAGCACCGGCACCGACAATAGCGCGCCCATTGCCTTCGACATGTCCAACCGCGCGAAACTTCCCAAAGGCATTGAAAACATACGGCCGCACCTGGAGAGCGTGGATAACGTTCCCCTATTAGTCTCACTGTTCACAGACTGTACGGCCGACGCCACCAAAGAGATGATACGAATAATGCAAGAGTACGGAGAAGTGGTGTGTGTTGTGGGCAGTGCTGCCAATATTGCCAACGTTCCCATATTTCTTCAGGCGGATGCCAGGTATGTGTCCACTCTATGCCAACTTAATCCCTGTCCCCTAACCATACTTTTATTTTTATTGAATGGTAAGTATTGGTGTGGAGCCGATGTACCCACAGGTGTGCATAACGGAGCCCATCAAAGAGGCCGACGGTTACATTGAATCTCTTCCGGACAACTTCGTGGGGCCCACAGATTTGGCGCGACAGTTGGTCACCCTTCCCTGCTCGCTATCGCTATACCGCCAGAACTCTATTATCTTCTATCAGTTGATCCTCGAGGCGCGACATTATATGTTGAAAATGCGGAACTGTTTCCAATTCTTCCTCAGCTCTTGTCTTAGTCTGAGTTTAGCCCAACTCTTGACTTCGTTGCTATTCCTGCCGCCACTCCTGTCACCGGGCGTTGTCCTGTGGTTGGCTTGTATTGTACTTCCAATCTTGAGCTCTTCGCTAATGGGAACCGATGTGGACGACAAAGTGATGACAATCGCCACCGGAAAGAAGTTGCATTTAAATAAAGAGGTTTTCATTGATTTTTACATTACATTGACTCGAGATAATGATGACCGATGTCTGACTCCCATTGTCTTCCAGAGTATACTCTACTTCTTCATGTGTTACTTAATAAAGTTCGCGCCGTCAGTATTAGTGAGTGTTTTGTGTTTCGGTCTAATCATTGGCCACTCGTGTCACGACATGCATGTGGGTCTCCTGACAGCCGGTCCCTGTTGGATGTTCTCAGACGTCAAGTGAGTTATTACATGCTTATCATATGACTATATCATAACCAGAGATCACCTGAATCCATTTTTATTTAAAACCACTAACGCCTCTGGTTATGATTTAATCATATTATCTACTTATACGGTATGTAATCATTGTCTCCATTGCCATAACATTCAGAGCCAACACAACCGTCAAAACAGCCGACTTCTTCTGGGCCTCTCATCTACTCATTGGTCAGACAATCGCCTCATTATTCCTCGTCTTATATATCGGTTTGTAATTCATTTTATGAAAACACTTTTATTGATAACTTTTGTACTCAGTTTGTACCGCTTTTTCAGTGATCATATCAATCGGTTTTGTTCACCGAAATCATCTGATTTGGCAAAGAAGTCCACTGACCAACAAGTGGTGGATATTCATATCAATCGGACTGTTGATCAGTCACGCGTTGCTCTGTTTGATTGAAATCAGTCTTTACGTGCGATCCGTGCGTATCGCCACTCAATTCATTGCCTCCATTCCCGTCTACGTCTGGTGTTTGGGATTCTTGTGGCCATTGCTTCTCATATCCATCAATACTATCACTAAAAGACACGAAATTAAGTACGAATTGAAGCGATTGTTTTGTTTGTTTGACTCATTTGTTTGAATATCTTTTGCAGAGTTTATTTCCGACAGCAGCGAAGGGCTCGACTTGAGTTCGGCACTAAACTCGGAATGAATTCCCCCTTTTGATTGCCATTCATGCATAGACTTACCATTATTATGTCAATTATACCTTATAAGCATATGCCGTTTACTCATTAGCACCGGTACCAATATCCAAGTCTTATATAATGTTTGTACAAAATTATCAAATATTTTCTACGGTAATCATTGCACGTTCGAAGGGAACGGTATTTTCAATGTTTGTTATATTTTTGTAATTTATATCCTATATAATCCCTTTGTATTGTTATTAAGTCTATATATTTGTAAAATATGCGTAAACCCTGCGTAAACTTAGTCAAAATAATGTACAATAATTGTCACCGGCTTTTGGTGCCGATGCTAATGAGACAGATATTCAGGGTATGCGCCAAATATAGAGTGAATTGTTATTACTGTCAAAGAAATATTTTTGAGATCTTAATAGTATTTTATTGAATATTGTTTTTTCATAAGAACTGTTGTATTTATTAACGACCGAATGGGCCTAGCTTATATTTAAACCCTATATTCGGAACTTTGTATCCAATTGTAAGCACCGATATTTGTACTGAAAATGTTTAACTATACGATACGAGACTAACTTATTATACACAGTATTATACCAGAAAAATGTTGACATTTTCTAAACTGAATCTTAAATAAAGAAATACTTAAAACAAGTCTAAATTACTTGCTAACAATTATTTGACGAATAAATTTCTATAAACTTATTGATAACAAAATCGATTATTTAATATTTTTGAAAAGAGCATATAAGCCATTGTGCTTTAGACTAGCCCGGGTAGCTCAGTCGGTAGAGCATTAGGCTTTTAACCTAAGGGTCCAGGGTTCGAGTCCCTGTTCGGGCGGTAATTTTTGCACTTTTTTGGTTAATATTTTACTCATAGCCTACAAGCTTTAATTGAACACTTATTTCAGTGATTTATTTTACAGTAATTTTATACAAAAAATCTTTTTTAATCACAATTAAAAACACACCAAAATGATTACCAGTACATGTTTATATTGAAACATTATATTAATTAATAAATTGGATTTTATTTATTTACTGAATAGAAAACAAGTATTAATTGAATGATTATCATTTGTAAGTATAAATATAAAAGTGATTCAAATGAACAGAAATGCAATTAAATTATACACAAAAATTGTTTAACTATACGATACGAGACTAACTTATTATACACAGTATTATACCAGAAAAATGTTGACATTTTCTAAACTGAATCTTAAATAAAGAAATACTTAAAACAAGTCTAAATTACTTGCTAACAATAATATACAGAAGTGAATTAACAAATAATATATTAATAGTAATAATAGTAAACTTATTGATAACAAAATCGATTATTTAATATTTTAGAAAAGAGCATATAAGCCATTGCGCTTTAGACTAGCCCGGGTAGCTCAGTCGGTAGAGCATTAGGCTTTTAACCTAAGGGTCCAGGGTTCGAGCCCCTGCTCGGGCGGTAATTTTTGCACTTTTTTATTAATATTTTACTCATAGCCTACAAGCTTTAATTGAACACTTATTTCAGTGATTTATTTTACAGTAATTTTATACAAAAAATGTTTTTTAATCGCAATTAAAAACACACCAAAATGATTACCAGTACATGTTTATATTCAAACATTATATTCATTAATAAATTGGATTTTATTTATTTACTGAATAGAAAACAAGTATTAATTGAATGATTATCATTTGTAAGTATAAATATAAAAGTGATTCAAATGAACAGAAATGCAATTAAATTATACACAAAAATATTAATAAATTGGATTTTATTTATTTACTGAATAGAAAACAAGTATTAATTGAATGATTATCATTTGTAAGTATAAATATAAAAGTGATTCAAATGAACAGAAATGCAATTAAATTATACACAAAAAACAATACATTAACACAACTTCAAGAGTCGTCTAACTTTCGTTTCAATCCCTGGGAGACATCCATTGACTTAATGGTCAGTATCTGAGAGCCAGTCTTAGGCGTTGTGGACATAGGCTTCAAAACGGACGACGAGTTATTGAGAAGCGATGTCCCGGTCATCGATGTCCTGAAGGTCTGGGGCTTTGATTTGTTTGACTTTTGTTTGTAATTACAGGCGATCAGAGAGTATCGGTCGGCGGGAAGTCGCGGCCCGTTATGCGACTTAATGGCCGGAAGCGTCTGATTATTCTTCGTGCGCGCGATCTCTAGCAACAGATCCCGTGGCGGCGGACCAGTGAAGCCCTTATCGACCTGTAGCTGAACCGACAGCGAGATGTCGTCCGAATCGATGGCCTTCTTCTTGGCGTAACTCGAGAACAGATGCGCGTCTTCTAACACATTCGACACATACCCTACCGATGCGGTCGATGGCAGACAAAGACACACCAATTGGTCACATGATTGCCACACAAACTCATCCACAGTATACTCACTGTATGTGAACTCAACCATTTGGTTCACCACTCGGGGCTCGTAGTCAGTGATCGCCATATCCTTCAGTATTTGAGTGACAATTGCGATGTCTTTCGGCGTTGTCTTGTTGGCCGCCAACGAGTTAGCCATCGATGGCGTCGACAGAGTCTGGGCTTTGGACTCACTTTTGGTCATCTTTTTGCCACCGCTTCCTCTGCACCACAAATACACAAACAGTGAGACAATGAGTGCATAATAGAGATAATGAAGACTTACTTTTCCATTTGTATACTAACTTAACTCCGCTTCTCACCACACTTCACGCCTAGTTTACGTTCGTTAGCTACCAAACAAACGTTGTGAAAATGGCGTTTTTGTTTTACTCAGAATTCAAACGTAAGTAAAGTTACCCTTTTCACTGCAATACAACTCCACAACAATAACGTTACCAAATGGGGTGGCGTTCAGTGGATTTGCTTTCAATCCTTCAAAGTGTTCTCAAAAATCAGTGCCGTTTCACACCTTATTGTCCGGCCTTTTGGTTGCTTTCACTGTATGTCTTATGCTATACTTTATATGATTAGCTGTCTAGTAATACAGTGAAGCGAACCCTTAGAGTACTAAGAGGTGATTGTGACACTTTCATGGTGTGTGTGTTATTGTGTTCGTGCCATGCATTTGGTGTTTGGTGTGAAAGTTCACTGATAGGCAGTGTATTGAGCATTGAATTGAAGGTCAATATTGTTTGCAATGAATAATAGCTGACACAACAAAACACATAAAAAGGCTATTCTTTGGCACCAATTGCTTGCCATTGACTTCGCACTGAATATGAGTACAAATTGAATGCAATCTAAGCCGTGATTCAGATCTTGAGGCCAACAGTGAACACAATGAGTGTGTTATACATTGATAGCTAACACCTATCCATAGCTATAGTACGGAATATATGTGTGATTACAGCATAAAGTGTATGCGTTTTCAATGTTTGTTGAGTTGAGTGACTCCATAGCCATTGCAGTGAACCATACATACAGTATAGCATTGATTGCAATACGCAATACGTGTTGAGTCCAC